TGGACACGAAGGCATGACCAATCCTAAGGGGTACACCCAATTTTTTCTGCTGCACTGGGGCTCGGATTGCACTTTTCCGGCGGGGACACTGGACCTGCCTCGGTCCTCAACCCGACCGTCACTTGATCAGATGGGCCACGGTGAGACCCCAACGGACAAGGGATCGGACCCACCTTTGTCCTGAACCCGACCACCACCGGATCGCACGGGCAGCAGTGAAAGGCCGATGGTCCCTCGCCCCTTTCCCTCTCCTCTGCACACTCTTCGCAAACAATATAGCCGCTCTTCGCACTAATGCCCTTCCCGACAATGCTGAATCCGTCGTGAGACTCGAGACTCTTTGGCATAGTCGGACCTCCCTGCAGTGGCCTCAGCACTATGGCACAGTTATCCATCTCGTTCTCTGTCGTCGTCACGAAATCCATCTTGCTGTAGGTTATTGCAGTTTGATGACTGAAAAACAATTGCAGAGAGTTGAGTGAGAGCTATAGTATTCGGTGTGTCTATATATACGGTTGTAGTATAGGGTGATCTCAAGTCTGCGTAGGTATTTGATGTGGAATCTCTTTAGGTGTTCGACTTCGAGTCTAATCCTAGTTTTAATAGGAAACCTGAAAGAACATGAATAAAGAAATTTATTCATATCATTATTCCTTTTTTTATGTGGAAATAAGGAAATACTTCTTATCATGCACTTACATTATGTTTGATGGAAGGAATAAGCTTTTCACTTAATTATAAAAATAATATTTACAGATTTTCATCAATATGAACTATATAGTTTATGACTTAACCAACATATTTTTCAAATTTTGAGAAATTTATCATCTTTAATCATCTCTCTCTCCAAATAATCTTGTAGACTTACCTTTTATTTCGTTAGGTTTATGGAAAGTATATCCCTTCTTATTGACATATTACCTACATCTGGGTTTGTTTTTTTAATTTACAATCACAACATTTGATAGTTGCTCCTTACCTTTTTTTCGATTGACTAAAACTTAGCTATTGATAATAATCATAACACCTTTAGTTCATAAAGGTCTTAACACAATACGATCACATATAGATTCATATCCTCTTTTACGCGTAATGCAAGTGTCATAATTTAATTTTTAATATAGCTGTGCATCGTTCAAATTCTAAATTCAACCGCACGTAGAAGCAATAAGCAGATTCATACATCGATGCGATATGCATGCACGTAGAAATTGACGACAATAAAGAGATGGTCGAAGAAAACTCGTCCAAGGTACTCGAATCCGACGAACTATACAAACTCAATCCGACGAGAATCCTATTTTTATTGTTGCCCCATCCAAACCCTAATCTATCTTTCAGCAACGAAATGAAATCCCGAGAAGATATCTTTATGAGGAAATCAAATCAGTTATACATAATCAAAATAAATATATAAAAATGATATCGTAAATTTCTTTAGAAGATATCTAAATATTTCTCAGACTCGCTTTTCAAATTCCACCACCGCGCGCCTCTCCAACTCTCTCTCTCTCTGTGCCCGAGCTTGAACTGCGAGTAACGCACGCATGGAGACGACGCAGAACGGACAAGCCAAAGACGAGGCCGCCGCCGTCTGCGACGGCTCAATTTCTGGACACGAGTCGCTCGACTGCCTCCTCCACAACGGCTTGATTTTCGGATACGAGTCGCTAGATGACCTCCTCCGCGAACATCTCCACCCCCATAGTGTTTCAGGTCTTGGTTTGTCATTGCATCTTGTATCCTCGTCTGAACTACGATTTCCTAACCTGATTAAACATAGAGAGAGAGAGAGAGAGAGAGAGAGAGAGAGAGAGAGAGAGAGAGAGAGAGAGAGAGAGAGAGAGAGAGAGAGAGAGAGAGAGACGAGGCTCAGTGTCACTAGACTGCATGGAGAAGGATTATTATAGTAAAAACTTGGAGGAGGTTTGACTTGTTAAAGGGAAACACACAAAGATGTGGTCAGATGGTAGAATTATGTTCTGCTCAGTTTTTTTTTCTCTTTCTACTCGCTTTTTCCAATTTAACTTATGGAAACTGAACGAGTTGCATTGACTTTGCTGTGTTTAAGCACCCCCCTTAGATGAATTCTGATGTCATTAGTCAATCTGGAAGAATGTTTGATCTCTCCGACATATTACGGGTCTGCATCTGCAGACGTACCATTTTTCTTTTCAAGTTAAATAAGAGTTTGGACTTCTGCTCGGAAAGGTGGGTCTTAGGGATTGTAGTGGTGTTTCCCCATTACTTTTCAAGGCTGTAATGGATGTGGTCTCCCGAATTGTTCGACCGTCCCTCGGTCCCCCTTTTAAGCATATATATGTATGGTAAGAATAAACAGCTTAAAAGTCTTATTCCAAGAAGTTGGAGCGGATCAAATAATTTCAAGTCCAAATGGATTTTAGATTGACATGGATCAACCGGCCATGAAAATATATTTGTTGAGACAACTTAAGTGGCCCATAAATTGGCATGTCAGCGAATAGGGTTGCAGTTCTAGGTTTTTTCTTAATAAGAATTTACTATTTGCTAGAGACCAAAGGAATTCATAACTGGTGTTCCACAATTCATAGTTGCTATATCCATGTATACCATCTGAAAAAGGCTTTACAGATGAAGGTTTGAAAGGATAATTCTATTTCTTGCCAGTGTTTTGTGCAATTTGTTCACTAGACTGCGCGTGCTTGAACATGCTGAAGAGAAATTTCCGAGCGACATTCTTTTGGAATGGACAATAGTGACTATCTTGATCTATTCCGTCGACAGGAGAATGTTATCTCTTTGACATCTCTTCACATATCTTCTCTGTCGTCACTGAGAAATTGAATCATATTTCAAAATGAACAGGAGCTATATCAATGCCTTCCTTCATAAAATGTCAAAAATCCAAGGCATGTCATTCCATTGTGGTACAATCTTACTTGTTGTTAAACCATTATGATATCAATTTCAGGAAGTCAGTCGTTTACTTATAGGACTGAATTGTGGAAGGACTCTTGAAGCTGTTCCTCTGGCAGATTCTGCAAAAGCTCTCTGATCTGAGTGTGATTTCGACATACGGGTAAACCTGTGTTTGCTGTTTTTCTGCTGCTTATTGGATGTGTCATATTAAGTGCTGCTCCTAAGAATCCTGGTCACACTAGGCTGCACTGTTTCATGTGATCCAATACTGGTAGTAGTTTGATCAGGACTCGCTAAAACTCAATTAGGTTCCCTTCGTAAGACAGTTTTCGAGATAGTATGACACTTGACTTTGTAGCACATTCCCGCTTGGAGAATATGGAGAATCTGAGTGTGTGCACAGGAGAGAGAGAGAGAGAGAGAGAGAGAGAGAGAGAGAGAGAGAGAGAGAGAGAGAGAGAGAGAGAGAGAGAGAGAGAGAGAGAGAGAGAGATGTTATACTGGAAATATGAATTACTTGCTTGTCCTGGGTGAGATGACCAGATACCCTGACAGGACTGAAAATGATTTTAGGTGAACTCATCTCTTCCTTGGAAATACATTTGGCATTCATAGAAAAAGAGTTTGGAAAGACATAAGTCGTGTCATCTGAAAAATGAAAGTATCTAGGGCAATTAGTTTCAAATGCCTTATGTCCCTTTGGCAACCATGGAAGATAAAGTTGCTTAACTCCTCCAGCAAACGCTCAATTAATGATTGCCTCAATCCAAAGTCACCACGATAGCCTATGAAGCAAGTTCTGTTAGCATTGCTCGGGTCTGCAAATGGAACTTCTGGCCAACCAATGTTTGGCACTACTCTGAGGAACATGAGCAAAGATCTTCCAATGTGTGCTCCTGTTCTCTTTGAGAAGGAGCAGAGGGAGTTTCTATCTATAACTCAGAAGTCTTTCACATCAGTGATAGATAAAAGAGTACGGACCAAATAAAATCATGTCGCCAAGATTTATATAAATGGTCCTAACTGGGCAAATAAATGTCTAAAAGTAAAGAATTGCCAATGTCTGGTCCGGACTTCCTTTGGCAATATTGAGAACTTGTCACTAGAGGGAGATCTTGAATAGCATAGTCCTGAAAATGAGTTCTTCTGGAATCTGTTTTAGCGTCGATACTTGATTCTGAGCTTTTCCATGAGATGCAAGGTGTGAGAATTCTTATTTATGTATTTTTGTACCATATTGGGATTCTATGGAGTTGGTGAACCAGCAGAATAGAGAAAGATGCAAAGTATGAGTTAGTCAAATTATTCTAATTGATTAAACTTCCTATCATGGAAGCTATAAGAAGTACTCTTAAATATTCTTTTTGGTAGTCACTATTTGGTAGTTGATAACTTTAATTGAAAACCATTACCTTGCTTCCTGCATTTCTTAGCAGGATCCCTTAGTCTATATACCTTCTGACTGAAATTTTTTAACCAATTTATTCTGATTTTCTTCCAGGCATTTCGTTTTACAGCAGACAAGGAGTTATTAAGAGAACCACGAGTTGTCAGAGTTGGGCTTATTCAGAACTCTATAGTTATTTCTACAACTTCTCCCTTTCTGGAACAGAAGATGGCTATCCATGAGAATGTAAAACCAATGATAGATGCTGCAGGTGCTTCAGGAGTGAACATATTATGCTTGCAGGTTAGTCACGCCATAAAGCTTGAGCTATACATGTTTGGGTATCTTCTTTTGGACTTGAAAGACTGAAATTCAACTGCTGAACTAAATAATCTTAATCTAGGAAGCATGGATGATGCCATGTGCCTTTTGTACAAGAGAGAAAAGGTGGTGTGATTCGCAGAGCCTGTTGATGGGGAATCAACAAGGTTTCTTCAGGATCTAGCAAAAAAATATAACATGGTCATTGTTAATCCTATCCTTGAAAGGGATATAAACCATGGGGAGACTATCTGAAATACTGCTGTTTTTATAGGCAATTGTGGCAATATTATAGGCAAGCATCGAAAGTTAAGTGTAAAGATTGCGGGGCCCAATGTTTGATTTATCCCTTTGGACTTGTCATATTGAAAAGCTTGATGATTGCATTTGGCAGAACCACATCCCCAGGTTTGGAGACTTAAATGAAAGTACCTACTATATGGAAGGAAATACCGGGCGGGCATCCTGTGTTTGAGACTGCTTATGGAAAAATCGCTGTCAATATTTGTTATGGGAGGCACCATCCGTTGAATTGGTTAGCATTTGGCTTGAATGGTGCTGAGATTGTGTTCAACCCTTCTGCAACCGTTGGTGAACTGAGCGAGCCAATGTGTCCAATTGAGGTATTTACAAACCCCCTATCCTATGCTTGATTTATGGAACTTGTTGCTATGAATTTATGTTGGTCATTATGCTTCTCTTGATAGATTTCTGGAACCTTCTTGTGTTGTGCATACTGGCACAAATGTTAGCATGACCTTTTTTTTACCATAAAGGGAAACAACTAAAACATAGTAAGAACAAACTACTTAAGGTTTTTTTTGCAAATAGTTGGAGCTTAACAAACAACTGCAAATTCAAATGAACTTATCGGATTATTGCCTCAGTTAACTCAACTGTGTTCATTGTAAAATCAATTCACAGGCCCGAAATGCTGCCATTGCCAACAGTTATTTTGTTGGATCAATTAATCGGGTAGGAAGAGAAAAATTTCCCAATCCGTTCACATCAAGTGACGGAAAGCCACAGCGCAAAGATTTCGGGCACTTCTATGGATCCAGTCACATTTCAGCTCCAGATGCTTCGTGCACGCCATCACTATCCCGTCAAAGAGATGGATCACTGGTTGCCAACATGGATCTCAACCTTTGCAGGCAGCTGAGAGACAAGTGGGGGTTCAGAATGACTGCTTGGTACGAGCTCTATGCCGATATGCTCGCTCAGTATCTGAAGCCGGACTTTGAACCCCAGGTCATATCTGATCCCTTGCTGCCTAAGAAGTCCTCTTAAGTTGTTGATTCGCTGTAATGCATATTTAGGGATGACTTTATCCAAATAATGTCTATTTTCCAGATTTCAGCACATATGATGTCTGTATGTGTAGTTCACCGGTCAACGGAATTAGAAATGGATGATTCGATCATCCCCTCTTTCAGATCACTCTTGCATTGAAATGAAATAGATGCTAACTTGATCGTTCAAATTAACTTGTTTTCAACATGTCTATTCAACTGCGCATGAACTATTGTAACTAAATTAGTTTGGGATATTTCTATCGGAAATCCTGAGCTTCTCGCCATAGAACACAACCATATCACCAATATCTCAAACTAATGCAAATGACCCAAAACCATCTTCATTAGACTTCTGTCCATAATGGCCGAAAAAAACCCGACGTGGCGTTGGCACGCGTGCTTTCATGTTGGATTCTGAACTGCCATTATAGACGAAACTGTAATAGATGGTATTTTTGGATCTGTGCTATGAATTTGGAATATTGGTGAGACCAACAAAGATAAATACTTTAGGGTATTGCTGTTTAATGGGGAAAAGTTGAGGATTTTTTTTTTGTGGCATTTTCCTTTTTTTAAAAGGTGATATGAAACATTTGCGGCTGACCAGCTTATAAAGTATAGATGAAAGATTCATCGACGGTTCACTATTTATTTTTTTTCCTTTTGGTCAGATAGTCGTTTACTAATTTGACAAATCGAAGAGAGGAATGCGTTTAGAGAGAATGAGAGTTCACAAAGCTAGACGCACATGTTCGAAAAACGCTGCTCCACATTTGCTTTGCCACCCAAACTTAAGACATCAACGAACATTTACATTCTAATAACAAGACATGGTTTTGTTTTCTTTTTCACGCTGATGGCCTTAATCAAATTCCCATAATGTTTACAACCACAAAAACCATGATGTAGTCATGATATGAGTATATGCAATAAATTAAGAAAAAAAAATCTTAGAACTTAATCGAGAAATCCAAACCCGACAAATAAAAAATGGCAACTAAAAGGGACCTACATGTTCTACAAAAATCATATTCCTCACCTATACATCATATATAACTCGAATTATGTGCAGTGCCAGACATCTTAAAAAATCTTACTGATCCTCCAGTGGAGTGACGGGATGTCTTTTATTGCGCGCTGATTATTCAATGCATGGGTCGCACTTGTTTCAATGTCCAATAAAAGACCGCCACATTGACTAGTGAGAGTGTTTTAGTAAGGTTTCTTGGTGCTGATAACACTGTTTCTCGAACTATTAGAGCAACCACACGTTGGCATACCAAGATGAGCATGGACACAAAGGCTTGACCAATCCCACGGGGTCCACCCAGTTTTTTCCGTTGCACTTGGACTCGGGTTGGACTTTTCCGGCGATGGTGGGGAAACCGGACCTGCCTCGGTCCTCAACTTGACCATCACATGATCAGATGGGCCACAAAGAGACCCCGATGGGTGGGAGATCGGACCCGCCTTGGTCCTGAGCCCGACCACCACCGGATCGAACGGGCAGCAGTGACAGGCCGATGGTCCCTCTCCCCTTCCCTCTCCTCTGCATGCTCTTTGCAAACAATGTAGCTGCTCTTCGCGCTAATGGCCTTCCCGACCATGCTGAATCCATCGTGAGGCGTAGTCAGATCTCCTTGCGGTTGCCTCAGCAGTACGGCACCATTTGCCATTGCGCTCTCCGTTGACGTGGCGATTTCCATCTTTGCCTTCCGCCAGCCCAGCACCGTCTGCTTCCTCGCTGTGGTTCCCTTCTTGGCGCCCTCGAAACCCATCTTTGCCAGCGATTTTTCGACTTGACGACTGAGTATTGATGGGATAGAGTTTGAGCGATGAGAGCACTGCACTGTCCACTCACTGCATGGACATATATATGATTGCGGTTCAGAGCGATCTTGAGCCTAAATGGGAAATACTTGATGTCGAGTCTTGATTCTTCTTTTGGAAAGAAAAACTGAATATTGAAGAAGGAAATCTTTCTTATTCTGCACTTATTGTGGAACTTGACTTACTTTCTTATTTCTCTTGCTTGCTTTTCTATGATTAAAAATTCACTTACTAACCTTTCAAGATTGCGTTTTGCACGAGGGTGCTTTCAAACTAATCACTCCCTTGTGGGGTGACCATGATAGCTTTTCTTTTTTTGTTGTTTATGCTGATTGCTAAATGACATTACCCACTTTCACATTTTGTTCCCAATCAAATAAATCATGCTCAATCAAGTAATGCAATTCACCCACACAAAAATAATAAACAAAATAGAATAATATCTAAACTTTTTTGGATCTTCACGACCAACAACAATTCAGAAGAGAAGTATTCATCTTCCGAATACGGGACCAAAGTCCGAATTAAGCAAAAAGCTAGGCTGTGAATACTGAATTGTAGCCCAGACACTTAGCGATATCTTCTACTAATGCATTATGGATAATTCGTCTTTGAATGTGTGCATTGCTATATCAATCATGCACAAAATTAGTGAGATTTCATGAAGCGGCGATCCTAGAGATAACTTGGCGATTTACATAAATGATATGATTATGCATTCGAAGAATATGAGCGATTCAATGAAGTAAACAAGATCTCCAACAAAAGATTGGGTTTGTTAGCAATACAGTAATATCCTTTAGAAAATCTTAAGAATCTCTAATATAATATTACTAACAGGGTTTAACAAATCTGTCTCCCCATAAACTCATAAACACGGTTATCTTGAGAATCACTCATTGAATCTTCATTGGAGCACGACACGAATATGAAATAGAAGAAGTATCGGTTTCGATAAACTCAAATTGAAATGGAATGAACCCAAAAACGTTGAAAGGATCAAGTTTTGAGTTTTCTGGACAAGAACTATATATGTGCATGGATGCAACGCAGCCCCACCAATACCACAGGGTTTAACCAATTCTTTCCGCTGCGCCTGGATCCGGACCGGACTTTCTTACTGATGGACGGGCGATCGGACCCTCCTTGGTCCTGAATCCGACTACCACCTTGTCGTTTGGGCAAAAGTGAAACCCTAATCCATCACCCCTTGCCTTCTCTCTCTTGCACTCTTTGCAATGCACGTGACCAGCCTTCGTAACATGCTGCCATCGCAAGCCCGATGGCGTCGCCTTCTCCGGCGGTGTCTCTACGGCGTCGACGTCCTCATCCTCGATAGCTTGCTCGAGATCGTCGTGAATCCTTTGCATCTTCTGATTCCTTTCCGACTGCTTCCGCACAATGGCGCGATGCATCTTCTTACTGCGAGTCAAAACCCTCTTAGATGGTGAGGCCGACTTCATGACTGAGAATTTGGATTGGATTGCAGATGGTAAAATTCACAGAGTGAAGCGAGGGCTTTATCACTGTACTTATATATATGTTTAATGTAGTACTTTGATGTCCAGCCGGTTGAGGTCTGATGATGATTTTGAAAACAAAAGATTGGATGTGGATATAATTCTTTCAAAGTTCAAATTTGGCGCTATTGACGAAATTATTGCACTGCTTATAATGTAGACTAATACAATCTCAACCATTGATCATGTGGATTCCACATTGGGGTTATGTGATCAACGGTGGAGATGAGTTTTTCGTATGCATAGTCTATAGACCATGATAAAGTAGTTGTATAAGACTGCAACATAATAGATAAGTACAATGAAATAGGGCTGTAAAACTACTATAATCTTGATTTAACTGATAAGGTAACTAACTATTCTACACGATTTGACGATGAAAATAGAGATAAAACATCCAAAACTCCTACATTCTCTCTCCAATAAGATCGCTTTTTCAACCAAAAAAAAAATCGCTTATATAAGTTATATTATACTATTAGTAATGTACTATTTTTTACTTTATTTTTTTATATTGCGAATTCTAATAGCTGTATTGATTATATAAATATATAAAAGAAAAGCAACATCAATTCATAACTGCATTGGTTGTGACTATTCTTTTTTTTTTTTTTGGTCAGAGGTTATGACTATTCTGATATATCAAATTGTAATTATTTTTCCTAGTATGATATTCTTCTCATGTGATAATGTTATTGCTTGTGTTATGAATTCTAATAACTGTTTATTGTATAATAAAATAAAAGCATATATTGGCTATAGTAGCACTATCAATTTATAACAGCCCTAGTCTTGTAATTTATAAAATTTTAGTTATCATTTATTAGTATATTAGTATGATATTCACTGTATTAATTAGTATTGCATCAATTGTCGTATCACCACTGACAAGGGAGAGGGATTAAAGAGGAGTGAATTCCGGAAAACTTCTATTTACGTGCAAGCTTTATTAGGGATTAAACAGAATTATAGCTATAATTGCAAATAAACAGAGGAATCTGAATAAACTCCTTAGATTTATTTGTTAAAAGGGAAAATACTACAAAAAAAAAAACTCTAAACCATGCATAGTAACCTTGATATCCCAAAATTTTTCTATCACCAAATGTGACAAAATACCCTCCGTTTACCACAAAAAATCCTAAATTTTTCTCATTATGACATTGATACCCAAATTTTTTTTTTTGTGTGTGTGTGTCACCGGTACCCTAAACACCGATTCAAGTTTGGGAGGTTTTGGTGACAAAATAAAGTACACAAAAAATGTAGAGTATCTTTATCACCATAATCATTGTTTAGGATTTCTGGTGACGAAAAATACATTTTAGTTACTGATACAAATTTGAGGGTATTGGTTTTTCCTTTTCTTGTTTTGTAATGATCTGAATACACTTGTAATTTGCTTGTAAAATCTAGATGAAAATTTCATCGCTGTTGACAAAAACAACGATCCCACTTTTTTTCTCATTTAATAATTTGACAAATAGAAAGAACAACGAGTATAGGAGAATTGTTGTTTGGTCTTAACAGAATTGTTGACAAGATCGAGTGTGATTCATGTCTCAAAACTTAAACATCAATACATTGGTAATCTAATTACGTGACATAGTTTTGTTTCTCTTTTTCGCAACGATGGTCTTAATTAAATTCTGATAATGTTTCCAACCACAAAAGGTATGATCTAAACTTGATATAAGAA